TCGGATTTAAACCTATGTGGTGTACTCCATTAGCAAATTTAGTCCAAAAATGATTTTTTCCGTTAACTATTTGTTATTACATGGGTAAAATTGTACTTTGACATGTGCACCTTCTTCTTCACAGCCCACCAAAGAAAAACACAAATCAGATAAACTTTCCCATCATCTTCCAGATCCAAGGAAAACCATAAATTGTTCATCTTACACACTAAACCTCAATTTAATTGGAAAACAAAAGTTACCCAAATTATTAATCAAAGTCACACGCACACATATGTTCTGTAGAAATGAGCTAATAATTTGATTAAGTTTACTAAATCAGAAAAAAGACAGAACAAAATCAATCCCAAAAACTTTATCCCCCCTCTAATTGTTTGATTGATCATTCTCTACTTAGGCAACCAAACAGGAAGATAGAAAATTTCACATCTAATATATCACACCTCTGCGAAAACGGAGATTTCCTCTACTACATACACCACTTCGAGAACAAATCACCCAAAAAGGCCGTAATTGTTCGAATAAAAATCCAAGCTGAGACGGCTTCGATTTCCTTAGAAGTCGCCCAAAATCGCATCAGAATCAGGGGTTAAAAAACCCCCAACTGTGGAAAACTCACATAAGCGCACCCAAGGGGACATGGTGGCAGCCATGGTTGCCGTGGTAGCTCTATGGAAAACTGAAAATGGTCTCTCCTTTTTCTCTTGCGCGAAGTGAGTTTGGGGGTTGCGTATGGGAGATGCAGGAAGAAGTCGTGCACACGTCAAAATACAATTTTACCCATGTATTAATAGATAGTTAACTAAAAAAATCACTTTTGGACTAAATTTGTTAACGGAGTACACCACAGGGTTTAAATCTGAGTTTTTTTAGCACATAGGCTATTTTCCAAATACTTTATGATCACAGGGATCATTTATCCGATTTGGCCTAATAGTATTAATATGTGGTAAGTGTAGCCACTGTTCTTAAAATTCTCACCTAGTACCGCCTAAGTAAGGCTAGGCGGCTGGCCGCCGCCCCAATTAATCACTAGGCATTTGAAAATTAAGAAAATGCACCTAGAACTGTTTAGGTGTCCCTAGAGCGTCTAGGCGCTTGCTTAGGCACCCGTTTAGATCGCGAATCTCACTCAGACAGAAAATGGATAACTTTCATTTTGCGTTATATTCTAGTACTTTATAATCTATATGTCATTTTATTTTCCAATTTATGTATCTCAATGCAATTATGTGTTTTTCAGTATAAACAAACACTTATTTATATGATGGGTAATAAACTTTCTTAAATCCTCCTAGGCCTCGCCTAGACCCCTAGACGCCTAGGCGCTAGACCCTAGCCCACTGCTCAACTAGCGCCTAACGTTGAGTGTAGCACTACTAAAAAAATATTAGATAAATATTGGGTATCCATCGCTTTTTTTTTTTTTTTTTTGCCCAACTACTTCTCCTATTAAGTTCATTTAAAATCTTGCTTTGCAGCTTAGTACCAATATCTACCAAACATGATACATTTTCGCTTCTACTTTTTGATTCTCTACATTGGTTTCGAAGTTTTTCGTACGAGATAAATTAGCTTAGCTTAATTAAGAAAGCAAATTGTAAATTGTCTTGCACTCTAGCTTAATTAAGACGTTTAAATTTCTTGTAATCTTAAGTTCCTTGTGTGTCAACTATTGCGGAAAAAGTCGTATAAAAAAATTAAATATGGTGCAACTGAGTGTGGGGTAGAATTTGAGAGGATTAGTAATACTTAAAAGTGGTTAAATTTAACAAACTGCGTGCTTGTGTAAATTAAAGTCAAAACTTGAGTCCATCTGTATTTATGTACATTAAAGCAATCAGTTGCTATGTACTTTAAATTTTGGAAGAAATAATTATATCGCGTGAGTGTGTCTTCTTCCATTCCACAGAATCTGTCGATGAATCCTATGCGACCACCATGAATGTTGTTCTTGACCGCAAAGTCACACCTGATGTGATACTTTATATATGTGTGTGTGTATGTATCTTGCCTAAACTTAGCTTTATCAATTCCTCGGGCTTGTTTTAATGTTTTTGTTTTTGAACAAGTGGTATGAAAAGCGAGAATCGCTCAATACAAGATCTCGAGTGCAAGATGTCAATGAGTTTAATCATTTGAAATCGTTTACATATTTATTTCAAAAGGTATTAGCAATAATGCAATTGTTGTGCAATCAACCATCGAATTATGTGACTTGGCTCGAGATCATGGCAAGATTGGCTATGGTCAAGCGTAGTATCGTTTCATGATGACCATTACAATACAAATACATCAAACAAAAACGTTTGATACAAAAATTTGTTATTGTGAACTAAAACTTTGTGTGCTCATAGAATACTTGTTACAAGATGTATCATTTCACGTATTATATAATATGAGTGAGCTTCTCACTTTTGAGTAAAATAATAACACCATAAAACAGTGTTTCAAGTATATTAAAATTTCTGAAACTTCATCTAGCAATGTAATAAAATAATCAAAACCGTATATTTTAGGGACGTAAGTAAACGATTACTTCACACACAAAACTTAAAACAAGCTTTTTGAGAGAAAAACTTAACCAGGTTGAGAATTCAGACATACTTCTTTAAAGGGAGGAATGGAGAGAAAATGATACAACGAACGATGTGGCTGGTATTCTTTCTTCCCATGGATCGAGGATTTAACGGGGGAGGGGTGATTAAAGCAGTCGTACAGGTGGAGGTGGAATACGGACCACCATCATGTCATATGTCTGCATCGTGGCATTCATAAGCCGAATAATTTGGTTGCCTTTTCATGTGAATAATTATGTGTCGATATTGCATCTTGGGAAAGCTGCCCTGGGTCATTATTTGTACATCGTATCATAAGAGAGATTTAATGTGTCCAACATTCAAAAATACATTTTCGTTATATTTATATTATAACACGTAATATGCATGTTTTATTTATATTATAAAATGCAAAATATATGGCTTTTGTATGAAAAATTTTCTCGTATTGTAGGTATTCGCTTTGTACCATAATACTCTAAAGTACACTACCTTGACCATCTATACAAGTAACACTTTCGGCAGTCTTAAATGTAATGAAATTGTTGCTTTCTTCTTATTTATTTGTACACTGATCTCACAATTATATAAACGGTAATGTTAGAAAGACTAAATTTGTAGACAAAATTTTGAAAATTAAAAGACATAGAAGTTGACGATCAATTTATTACTTAAGTGTTAATAAACGTATTCATTCATATTGGTGACATATCATTTATTTTGTAAATTTTGTTTCTAAATTTAATTCTCTGACATTATCTTTTTTTATAAATAACAGTGAACTGTTGTCTGCCATTCAATAAAATCATATTGAACTCATCTTTAGAAGAGAAAAAAGAACAACGAGTGTAAACGCTACATATAGAAGATGCTTGACTTTATATAGGCTATTAAATTGTTGTCTCGTGGCAGTTTAAATAGTCGGGGTCTCTTTTGAGTTTTTCAAGATCATGCTAAAAAAGAAGGGAACTTTAATGAAAAGCTTCAGGTACTGTTCATTTTAACGAAAAACTACATTTTTACACTAAAAGGTCAATCATGATACTATTCATTTTACCCTTTATTTTGTCCTTATCATTAAAACTCAAAGTTTTCAAACCCTTTTCATTAGTTTTCCTAAAAAAGAAAGTATTTCACCTCATCTTACTAGTAATTAAGTAGGAGGTTTAACGTTTAACTATTGTGAATGTTGGGTCCAATATCATATTATTATGAAGGGTAATACTCGAAAGATCAAATTTTTTTTAACTAAATAATGTATCATTAATAAGAAACAAGCACGTTAATCGATACTTAATTATTAATCAATCATTTATAACCACATCATTTAATTTGTAAATTTGATTTAAAATTTTTAATCTCCTTGACATCATCTTATTATGCATAGGCAATTGTGTAGTATAACTTAATTCTCGACTCCTTAGTATAAATATATCATTAAAAAAATAAAGTACGTAATAAAACCTTTCAATTCCCCCAATACCCTCACTCATTCTTAAAATCGACACTATTCTTCTTTAGAGGAACAAAGCAACCACCACCGCCTGTCCTCCACCACCGCTGTTGCCTGTGCACCACCGGTCCACCACCACGATCACACACGACCATCGCCACTACCATAACCACTACACCCTGCCATTGTATGTAGAGTGGTTCGCAGGTGATAACTTTCTTTGACCACCACCACCTTAACAATGACCATTTTCATTGTTTTCACCACATTACTCCGAGCATCGTTTCCAACACCACTGCCACCATCAGCCCCACTGGTCATATTGTGTGATGTAGAAACAACTACAAGAGCATGACTGTCAGTGTCTGTTGACTGGAGTACTTACTAGTTACGATACTAAACCAACGTTGCCGGCTGACACAAAACTTCATTTTTCCTTTTCCAAAATTCAATGTCATACATTACACGCACAAACATTTACAGCACTCGATAACTCTCCGTGCCAACGCTTTTTGCCAACTACTAACGAACTCTCCCTACTTGCAAATTTCACTCTTTCGATGTGTCACACGAATGTAGAAAAGCTATATTGGATTCGGGTTGAACAAAATCAATAGAGTAGTAATTTTCACAATCCCGTCTTCTTCTGCATTCTCTCATTTGTCACTTGATTCTTCTTGGGTGTACTCAATCCAATGGCGAGAAAATTAAATTAGGAACATAGACACTAATTGTAGTGCGCAATGGTTTTTTGGAGCACTTTCCAATCATATAAAGCCTAAAGTTGACACAAAGAGTGATTAAAAGTGTTTATCCGTGCGCCTAAGGTTCTATGTTCCAACGCTCTCCCTTAATATCGCTTGTATTAAAAAGGGCGTAAAGTTGAGTTCGAGATTAAAGTTTTAGGTCTAAATCATTAACTTAATCCCATTTTACCCATAGCTTAGCCCCTTCCCAAGCTTCATCAATTCCCCAGACAAAAGGGGAGAGTGCTCAAACAGATCCCATTTCTCCATTTGCATGGCAATGAGTTGACAGTAAGGGCATACATGTGAAATACATAACCTCCAGCAAGCAACCTTTATCTGCTACTACTTGTAGAACTGATCTAACAAAACTGCCCAAGACCAGCCACCCGAACAACGAAACAAAAGCAAGTGAATCAAAACGAAAAGTAAAATCACTTTTCGATTATATGTACAGCAAGCAGAAGAGCCAACAACCAACTTCCTAAGAGAAGGTAACAATGCTATTTACTTCCAAACTTTTACGACATACCCATTCTCAATCGCTGCCCGATCAGATGTATTAGCGGATGTATCTTGAATTCAAAGGTACCAATGTGCCTACGGATTTGATGGGCTTTCTACGTGCTTATTTGCCGAGTCTTTAGAAATCTGATTACTCTCAGTTAAGGGGGAGCTATTCTCCCTGGCATCTGTTGCATCACCCTCTGATGCTGCATTATCTTCTTGAATGGGATCCATACCATGGTTTTCATGAGTTCTTGATGCTCGACTATTCAAGAGATAGCGATAAGAATGGGTATTGAAGGACTCTGTACCGTAATGAGACCGAATAGCCGAACTGAACAAGGGTTGCATGCGGCGTTTTCTCTCAGGAAACTCGCGCAGTGATATTCTACAAACAGGACATGTGGAATGCTGCTGAAGCCATATGTCTATACAGGTCACATGGAAGGAGTGCTCACAATAGGGGAGGATCCGCAATACATCATCGCCATGGTATTCCGCGAGGCAAACAGTGCATCTACAAAATAAAAGAAAAAACAAATTTCATTAGAAAAAATTGCAAGGATTAAGAGATAATACATTTGACCATATGGATTGAAATTGAAATTGTTGTAAAGTGCCATGATTATAGGTGAACATAACAATAATATTCATTTGATTCGCATTGCTTTTCCTCTTTACTTTTAATCACTAAAGCAGAGAGGAAGAGAGGAAATTTCTGAAACATGCTATTGAGATACCAGAATAAATGTTTACTGCATGTTCTTCATTGGAGTGTCACGCAAATTGCAAACTTGACCTCATTAAATAGAATCCTTACATATCAGCGGAACATTGAAATGAAAGGATTAAGGAACCAAAAACCTTAAAACATTTCGGGATATGCAATAACTAACAGAGTACAAAAAATGGGAAGATAACTGATTCAGGATAGCAGGATACTGGCTCGGAGTCAAAGAACTATTATGTGGTCGATTTACATTGTCAGGCATTAACAAGGATAACTTTTACTGCAGAAGAGCACTGCATTTTCCAGATTGTTTAAAACTTACAAAATAAGAGAGCTCCAAAAGAACTGGGAAATGTTATATAGCCTTCTAAATATGCCTATATTGCATCAGAACGAAAATACTGCACTCTTTAAGAAATATATAAAAAATAACATTTGATATCAGAAGTCACGAGGGTGGCAACAGCTCTAAAGTGCACGTAAAGATAGAAATACTTACATTGATCAATTACTTCTTAAAATACTTTTGGGAACACTAAATAAGTAGCCACTGGCTTTTAGAAACATAAGAAAATGATCTATGATTATACACCGAATACAGCCGAGGATGAATCAGAGGCTATACAAGATTGAAGTGGACAAGTACCTAGCGTAAACTTCATTCTTATATACATTCACTGACCTTCCAAGCTCGAGGACATATTAAACTCTCTCAAATTTTAAAAAGTATTTTACGAGAAAATTAAACATCACAGACATAGAAATTCTCAATAGATGTTAAACCCATGTATCACATCCCACAGTCCAGAACAAATCTAAAATTCTCCATGAGAAAAACAGGGTACGTGGCATCTATGCTCAGACTTATCCAGCCTAGTTGGAATGAATTAACGCCTAGTAGCTCCACCTTTTGAATTAGAACTACGTGCAACCAAGATCCTGGTATTTCTTTCTCAATGGACAAAAGACCAATGCCCAGAGAAAATGAAAGAGCCAACTTCCGTCATCAAATTACACTCTAACCAATATCATTCCACTTGTGTCTTGTACACACACAACCGTCCATCAGTCTACCATAAAATGCTACAGCCAAAAGGAACAATGTACCAAGATACATCACTAAATTCTCTCTCATAGGACTGGTCAGCCAAACCTTGGCGATGGACACTTGAACCACATTATTTGAATTATCATCTATAAGGTTACTAGAAGAAGAGATTTCAAGGACTATTACTGGATTTATTGCATCATGGAAGTCTATAGAAGATTAAAATGCTGTATTATGTAATGGAAAAAACAGAGAATAAAAGAGCCATGCTTCTAAGAAACATTATCATCATTTAGGTATGGAAAAAGGAGATTAGCATCTCAAACTAAACATTGTCAGTATTATCCATAGTACTTGATATTTGCAACTCCCAAAGGTCCAAAAGTTTTACAAGTTGGAATTGGTCGATTCTTCAGTATCTCCTAACGAGAAGACCACTGGAAATCCTTCCCTCTACCCCTTTCCCAGGTATTTTCAAATTCCAATACTAGACAAATTATAAGACATATGGTTGAGAATCTGAATTGGATTAGTTACCTATACCAAATATTATGGAAAATTGAAATAATGCACTCAAGTCCAAAATAGTGAAAAATCATCATATATCTCGCAAACATTGCATATTACAATCATTAAAATGATAAAAACTGCAAACAGCAATTAAAGTGAGGTATGGAAGAATTAAAGAAATAACATACTGAGCATCTTCTGCTGCTGAAAAAAATGCATCACTGTACTTCTTTGTTGGAAACTTGGCTACTACTACAGGTTCAACGCCATGCAATCCCCGCTCCAACTGTATACGAATTAAGTGAAAACCATTTAAATTCATGGTCAAAGATACGTATTCCACATAAGCTCGTATTATAAAAAGAAAGAAAATTGGAATATATATAGGTCTAATAAAACAACAACCAGTTTGTATATATTTTTTGTGATTCACCAGAATAAGTAAAGAGATATACAAAGAACAAAAGATATATTAAATAGTCTAAATGGTACACTAACTATCAATTCAAACTGACGAACTAAACTCAGGAAATCACAAAAGAAAGTTGAAAATAAATGCATAAAACTATGAGAAAATTTGGTCTCTGAACTTGTCACAACATGGAGCAATAGTCCTTTTGAGTAACACCTTAAGAGATTAAAGGGGAAAATAAGGAGTTCTAATGGAGTTATCCAAAAGGACCATTGCTGCAAACTGTGACAAGTTCTTTACCAAATTACCAACAGTCGCAGACTTTTAGTTCAGGAACCAAAGCTTGAACTAGACTAAAGCTCGGGGGGCCATTGCTCCAATTCTCTCTAAACTAAAATCCAAGAACCTTGTTCAATGTAGAAAATGATAAGAACTACATATTATGACAAAACCCACAATAACTAAATAAGGACATAATAATTACTGAAAGAGTAAGATCTAAGTACAGTGAAACCATTGACAGTCATGCCAAGAAAATTTTCATTCATTTCCAATGAAAAATGGAAAATTCCCAGATTCTATTTTATCCTAATAAGATTAAAATCAGAGCCAATTACTGATAAACGAACAATCCATTCATCCATTCCAGAAAACAAATCAAAAGTAAACAACTGAAAAGGATGAAACATACAATACTGAGATCGGATCTGGAAGCTATCGGGAAGGAGCGTCTAGAAACATTGAGGTGAATCCTCGCACAGACAAGCCTGGTGCACACGAACACGATGAACATAGTGCTCACCGCGAACCCAATCACCGTCATCACCAGGTTTATCCCTGAAGATATCATCACTCTGTATTTGGGGTTTCCAATTTACCCAAATTCACAACAAGCTCAAAATTTAATCAGAAAAAATAAAGACCCGTCAGTCACTCTCACACACGCTACACTGAATTGGGTAAGATTTTCCACTGAGGTAGTGAAAATTCTGAGATATGGGTTTTGTACTGCTGGTGTTGCAGGTTCTGGTGCTGCTGTTGCTTCTGGGATTGAGCCAATTGTCATGGACAGGACAGCTCAAAGATTAGTTTGTGTGTGGGAGTGAAGGGAGGGGGAAGAAGGGGACTGCTTCAGTGTAGGAGGGAAGAGGGCAGGACTGGATAAGGAGAAAGCCATGGAGGGATTGAGCAGAGCCAGGGACTGAGGAAGCCCATGTAACTGGAATCACACAAAATAAGAGGGATATGATGTACTCGAGGAAGGAGGGATTTGCTCAGATCCAAAGGAAAATCCAGGTTTTGGGTGTTGGGTTAAGATTGGATACTGACTTCAGTCACCAAACAGTGTTGACTGTACAACAAATAATATCTAATGAAACACTTGTTTTTTAATTACAAATATAGAGATATGTATATTTTATGTCAAAAAGTCCACATCAATAAAATAAAAGGCATCATTAGTGTTTTTGAATCAAAATGATAATTTCTACGTGGCATAATATGGAATGGCAACAGAGGAAGTTGTTGTGAAATTTGACAAAAGTTTCTAATCTATTTTTAGTAATTAATAAATTTTTTTCATAATTTTTAATTTATTCTTATATTTTTTTAAAATACTAATAACAACTGATAAAAGTAAATAATGTGCAAGTGGGCCTTTATCACAGTGGTAAAAATGTGTTAAGCCCTTTTAAAAAAAAAACATTAATGTGACACATAAATCTTCAAATTTAAATTTTATGTTTAAAATTTGACATCTCCTTGGAGATGGTCTAAGGAGACTCTCTCAAAAGTGGAACTCTCCGACATCTCATGTTTTTGCCACAATTCTCGTGCCAACATTATAAAATATTGTGCAAAAAATATGTGGTGGCGGAAAGTCCATAGGAAATCCCACTTTTGAGAGAGTCTCCTTAGCATCTCTAAAGAAAATTTCAAACTTTTAGATGGAATGACACTGTACATATTTGACATCAAAAGTTTATCCAACCAAAATGTTATTTGCTAACTGGATTTGAAAACTTTGTAATTAGGAGCAAATTTGACATCATTGCTATGACAACCCGTCCCTAGTTCTATGATTTTATAAATTTTAAAGTGTGAATTTACGAAAATACCCTAAAGATGAAGGTTTTGACTTTCATTGACCAACATGTAGTGAGATGTATGAAATATTCTTTTAGCATATTCCTAAAATACTCGACGATACGGACGCATAGGCGCAGGCAGAAGCGAATTTAGAGTTATGGTTAAAGTTTCATTGAGCTACGACCCGAAAGTACTTGGAAGAAATCATTATTTTAATTATATTATATTATTTTATACTACTAAATTATTATGCCACTTGTGTGTGGCTGAGGGAGGAAGAGAATGGAATCGGGGGGAGAAAGAGAAGGATTGGGCAAAGCTGCCCAATCAGAGGAGGAAAGGAAGAAGGAGAACGAATCAGGGAAGAAAGACAAAGGGAAACGAGGGAGAGGGGACGCATGAGATTGGATCCTCGACCAGTTTTGGTTTGACCCGACCGGCGGCGCGCCATGTTTCTCGATACCATTCATGGCTTTTCACGGCAAATCGAGTCAAATCACCAACTGGAAACAACTTCCTAGCCTACCCTCTACCAATTCCATCCCAAAATTCATGCAATTTGGCTTTGGATTCGCAAGAAATGCATCGGCGGGTGCGATGGCGTCTCAACGGTGATCTGCCATTTCCGAAGCTCACTCCATCGATTATCACTACCAAAATACTCCTCTGAGGCTCAAGGACAAAGCCCAAACAAGTTTTGGGGCGTCGGAGTTGCTATGAAGCTGAATTGAGGGCACCCAAAGTTAAGGTTTCCGATGGGTTTTAGCAAAATTGGGACCCTTCCAGGCCAAATTGGACTTGGCCACATGTATAAAACTTGCTCTACTCATTGAGATCTTCATTTCTGTAAAATTTGGTAATTTTTAGAAATAGTTGCATTTTCCAGTGAGTCGGGACAACCAACCGCCACCTGGGCCGAGGTGTCCTCTGACCTTCCTAGACTAAATTTGAATACCTTGGTTTCATTTGTGAAGTCCGATTGACGAAATTCTGTCGTTTGAACTTAGTTCCATTAAGGTCCGCCACTTGATTAGTATAGCAACCGACGATTCGACCGTTGGATCGTCACCAAATTTTAATACATTATAGTACGTAATATTTGAGGACCATATAACTTACTGATGGGGAATCCGACGTACGGTGTCACGCCCCGATCCCGACATACATCCAGGATCTACACGTGATGTCATTAAATACCCGTATATCTAACACACCTCGCCTCCTGAATATATACAAAGTATCCTTTAAGATCCAGATGCACAATAATTTTTCGTATACTTTATGGCTGCATCTAACCTCTTCGTTAGATTGCCTACGTACCCTCAATAGGGATCAAGCCATTCGTAGTTCACCTTATCACAAAATCAGACGTTTATCCACTAAGTTCAAGCAGAATCATAGCATTCCTCAATCATTTATTATAACCTGACAACATGTAATTCCTGGACTCAGGCTACATAACCAATCCCCATGAAAACTTGATTTCTCTCCCACCAACATATAAATCATTATGTCTCATCGTGATATCGCAATTCACAACACACATCATATTTAAGAGTCGACGAAACACAAGGTAATACCAATCATTCCCATATCTTCTAAATTCATACCTTATGAAATCATAATTGAATCATAGAAAATCTCGAAGGAGTCATTCAGACGTCCAACATATTTTTTAACTCAATTCACAAGACTCTCGAAACCATTGACACAATATATATAAAACTAAGGCTAGAGTGACACAGTTAGGCCAAGCCTACTTCTCCAATTAATGGGATTTTAGGCCACTCCATGAAATTCAACAACTTCGGGTTCCGGACCATTCAACAGAACCAAACCAAATATGATCGCCTATAAAATGTACCAAGTACAACCAATCATCATCACCTCTAGAATACGTATGGTCCCCCATCGTGGATATACCAAGCAGAACCATGGGCATAATATCATCGTGCAGGCAGTGATCACCCATCGCGGATATACCAAGCATGATCACCCCTGAATACATATGGTCGCCCATCACGGATATACCAAGCAGGACCACATCCATGTACCACTACTACATGGTGCAATCTCATCATCACACATTAAACATAATTATACGCATACATGTTATCGATTCCACATATCAATAAGCATCTAGTCATATGGAGCACAACACAAGGAATTCCCTTAACTACTATTTCTACTAAAAATCTAACAAAGTACCTAACTCATCTCCATCTCAAGCTAGGTAGTAATGCCAAGTTCAAATAGGTATTCAGTTGGCAATCATATCCAAATAATTATCAAACAATAATTAAATCTCATAATTGTCATAACATTCATCATAATTATCAATCACATTATTAAAAAGATAATTAAACACATATACATCACAAACATAATCAGCGTACAAGCCAAATCCTATTTAATAAGCATAGGTCTATGGCTAAATATATAAAATCACATTTCAATAGAAATCACATTTATAAAACCAAGTCGTAATCACAATTGATATTGATATAAGAATTTAAGGTAATCACTATAGCCCATATATTCAAGTCACTCTTTAACCAATGTAGGCTCACTAGGCCTCACTGCGTCTCCCGTAGTACTAATTTTAGTATTTAGAACGTTTTGAGACATGTTGACCAAAAGTCAACTCTCGATCAAAGGTAGGGTTCACAATACTACACAACTCGATCCGTAAGATCCGTTGGATTTTGGATATGTAACTTTCTAAAATACACATTATGCCTCTAAAACAACATACCAAAATTTCATCACGATCCGACGGTCGGATCTCCGCCAATTACAAATTCAAGTGGCGACCAAAGTTTGATTTTACAAACTTAGAAATTCAATACGGAAGGATCCGTACGTCGGATTCCTGATCTATCAGTTACTATGGTCCTCAAATATTACGTACTATTACATATTAAAGTTTGTTAACGATCCAACGGTCAAATCATCGATTCATATTTTGATCAAGTAATGTATCATAGTGAAATTAGGTTCAAACGATCAATCCTTGTCATATGAATATCAGATACTATGTGATGAGCTATGGGTTCAGCCATACATGCCACAAGATGTGGATCCGGCTGACATATTACTTGATATGGATAAGTCGTACAAGTCACTAAAAGGTGACTCCGACTTACGTACTAACATTGATTGATGAGATATGGGTGAGTCGTACAGGTCACTATAGGTGACTCTGACTTACGTGCTAGCATTGATTATTAAGCACTGGATTATTTATATTGCTGATGAAATGTCGTATCGTGGTATACTTCTGGATTTACTAATAGTATACAATTGATTTCATCCTTATACGTATTATGATTTTCGGGAAACTAAAGAGGTGTTATAGCGAGGGGTTATAACGTTTAGAAGATTTTTATTAAAACTTTGTTTTCAAGCCACTCACATTTTCTGTTTTCCGCCCCTCTAGGTTTAGTAGTTGAGCTTCTATATCGGCGAGGATGATTGGCATATTCCAAAATAAGTGACCACATAATTCTTATCTTACGCTATTGCACTTTACCTATGCTCTAATGTCACGTGTGAAGTGGGTTCATTCTCGCTCACCAGCGCACTCTGGTATTTAGACACTATTAGGTTCAAATTTATTCATATTTTTCCACATCATCACACTTTATGGCTTTGTCACCTTGCAGGTGTCGGTCAGCACATCTCGATTCGGAGTCCTTATGGACATTCCGGGTCGGGGTATGTCAATTGCCAAATTTTTTTAATTCATTTTAATGATGGGTCTCTTATTCCACTAATATTTCAACCAATAAAAATTTTGTTTCAACATTTTTTTAATAATTATGACCATTTAAAGTTCTATTTAAATAAGAAAAAAATATTTGACATTTCAGTTGGAGAAGCACAAAATTTGACATAGGACTTCAGATTGCCAAATTGGCTATCAATTGTAATTTGACTCTTATAATTTGATATTTCCTTTGAATATGGTTTCTCTTTAAATTATATTTTGCAAATGTTGATAAACGTGTTTATATTCTATTAGTGACACATCACATGATTTTTAAATTTGATATAAAAAGTTGGTTCACCGCATCTCCTTATTTATTTAGAATAACCATATTTGCACTGGTTTTCAAATAGAGCAGTACGATTTTAATTTTCTCACACTGCATACTTATGATATGAATCATAACAGTTTATGTTTTTGAGTTGTTTAACTTTCTAATCCTTTGTAAAAGTGATGAGTGACCATTATGCAACTTGTTTTTTAATTGACGTGAAAGCCACACTTACACCACATCAAACTTTGTTTTCTCTACAATTTGAAACGGCAATAGTCTCACAATTAGGCAGCCTAGAAACAGGTTCACATCACATCCACCAAAATTAATTAACTAATTAACTTACTTAATTAATCTTTGTTAACGTACTAAATTAATCAACTAAATTAATCTCATGCTTCAAGTTTATTGGTGTACAATCTATTATATTTTATTCTAAGCCAAAAAAAAAAAAATCTATTACTATTTTATAATTACTAGTAATTTACAGGACTAACTATTTCGTACACCTTTTAGTTTAAGATTATTGGCAACTGAGACTATATTCAATAGAAAAGGCTAAAGGTTAAGAGTCAAGTGAACATAAAAAGTTTTGCGACAAGTATGATGATGCTGAAATCAACCAAGTCCATATCCAAGCTACTCGGCCAAAATTGGAGATACCGTTCTCTTGAGTGGCAACCAACTTCCTGAACCCCGAGCTCTTCAAATCTGTGTGCATTTGAAAGTGCCACAAATCAATACCAAGTGATAGGTATGTTGTATTTGGACTCACTTTTGCCCCGTTATTAAACACAAGGCGAAGGGAGGCATGGTTCTTCCATTGTCAACTTTGAAAGGCATTTTACTGTATAGAAGTGTACAGAAAGATTAATTGTCAATATATATGTACCATATTTCTCAAAAAAATATATATGCACCATTCACTATAGATTTTCTAGGTGTTTTTTCTTTTTCATCTTCGCTTGTGCATTTTTTTTCTTTGGCATTCTCTTGCTATCTGATGCCATGTTAAGCTCCTTTAGATATGGTCTTAGATGCGGCCCCCACGGGGGGTTAAAGCGACCAAATGTTTTGTAAGTGACAAATATTGGTGCCATTAAAAAATCCGAATCAAATCAATTTATTATTCATACAATGTCTCTGCTAAAAAATTTATTCTTACAATGTGAATGCGACAGCATCGTGAATGTGGCATCATTTAGCACATTAATAAAATATGAGATCGTTTAGTCATTGAACTAAATAAAAATAAATAGTTGATATCGATAAAAATATTATTCATATATAGCTGGAAGAGGCCTCTACCATTCGAGAGGCATTGGAGGAGTGCAGCAGACATGGTTTGTCAAACATTATCATTGAGTCTGATGTCTGTGAAGTTATTAGGATGATGATAAGGAAGGAGATCGGTGTTGATGCGGAGTTGGAAAGCATAGTGCATGACATTTGGGCTGTTACAAATGACGTGGGGACTGTTTCGTTCAAGTTTGCTCGTCAAGAAGGCAACCGAGCGACCCATTTTGTTGCAGCGTTTATTAAAAAAATTGGAGGTTTTTTTAGATGGGATTGTATTGGTCTCGAGTTCCTTTTTAACATCATTCTGTTGCAGCGTTTATTAAAAAAATGGAGGTTTTTTTAGATAGGATTGTATTGGTCTTGAGTTCCTTTTTAACATCTTGGCTCAAGATGTAAACATTTCAATTTATTTCCTGAATTATCATATCAGTGAAAATTAAGTCCCTAAACTATTTTTTTTCCAGAAAAATCAATCCTTAAGTTATTAAATTCTGCCAATTACTTTCCTAATATTATATTCAAGGCTAATATATTCAATTTTCCTTGGAGGGTAGATTTGTAGTTTTTCATAGGGAAATAGTGTATGGAGTCAACTTTGAAGGGTAAATTGGTAGTTTTATGTAAGAAATAGTGTAAGTTAACTTTGGAAGGTAAATTAGACGTTAGATTCACAATCTATATGAAATGTTAAGGGCTTATAGGCAAGGAAATAATGGTATTACACTTCAAAGTATGTCAAGTGACTTAAGTTGACGAAAAATTGGATAAAATAACTTTGAATTTAATAGCAGTGATGAAAATGAATTTAGGGACTTATTTTACCCAAAAAATAATTTAGGGACCTAATGTTCATTGACGTGATAGTTCAGGGACTAAATCGGCACTTCATCCTAGAATTTAATGAAGTCTATCTTTTGGCAAGGGGGAGGGGGAATATATTTGCTACAATTGGCTAATCAACATGCGTTTTAATTGATTTTTTGCATTTTATAATAACAAATGGTTACGATCATAAGTAGAAAGTCCCATGAATCGGCCACATCTAAGTATCTCTCTTGAATTTAAGAACTTGTTTTAGACCGTTTAGTAGGGGATTCTGAACATAAGACCTCGGGTGCATAGGTGAATGCTCTTATCCAACCGAGTTACAATCCATTTGCTCATTATTGACTATCCTTATCTGTACAAATTAAAGAATATCCTATCAAAATGACAAAAATATTCTCCAAAAATACAAAACCGTTGACAATTTCTTTTTTGGTGCCTTCCTAGTTCCCACATGTAGCAATATCATCTACTTGTGGATATCCTCTGGCCTCTCCATGGATATAACAACCAATCGTCGTATATATGTATACACAAGAGAATGGGATTGAATGCTTTTATGTATTAGGGTTTTCTGCACTTTTTGAACAACAAACTGATTGATCTCAATGTGCTTTGCGTAGGGTTTATTTCTGGTTTTGGATGGATCCTATATATATATATGAACTGGACTTGGTTGCTGCAAATTCAGTAGTTGTTACTTACACCTAATTCTGGCTGGACACATGTCTAAGTTTTGATTTTTTTAATCAAAATTCGGACACGTATCCACGTATCCACGTGTCCAGCCATAATTGGGTGTAAGCGGCAGCAAAGTTAAATCCTATATATATATATATACATTTGTGTGTGTGTGTGTAGTTAGGTTATTTTGAGAAGCTAGTTGTTGGAAATGATTAAGAAAAAAGAAACTAGTTCAAGGTTTTAAAGTCAGCCATGACTTCGTCCTCATGCCTACTAAAGCTATACGCGTAGCTAATTGGACTCTAGATTATTTTTATGGATTGGGGGACACACAATTGACCAGATCATGGCAACACGTTTGGGTTTGATCAAAACCAATGTCTGCTAATCCTCTTTATCGCGGGGCTTAATTGATTTGGGCTGTCTTATGATCATTCCATTTTGCACACCTAGTCACGATCTAATGTTACTCAACTAAAATAATAGAAGAACCATCTTTAGGCTGCTTATTAGCGTGGCGTCACAATTTTCTTTTGGTGTTATAAAAACTCAACTAAAATATAATTAAATTATTTATAAGGTGGATTGTGTTAGGAGCTTCATTTTATTTTAATCGTATTTTAATATTATCTTGATGGTTATAAACTTTCTCTTTTTAATTATATTGCATCTCGGATTCAAATAATTAAGGGAATATCATCGAAGATGATTACAAACCAATAGGCTAGCACAACCCTCGATCAACATCCTGTCAACGTCTACAGATTAGAATAATAATATCTAGTTATTTAATTGGAATTTCGAATAATAAAAATTTTCTTCTGATAACTCCCAAGCGATTTGGCCATCTGAATCTCAAAATATGACCTCATTTTTAGATTGAGGCAGTGATACAAGAAGAAATTATTCAAAGTTAAATGGCGAAGGGAAACTGCGATGAAATAAGCTAAAATAAAATACAAATTTCAGTCACTTAACAAACAGGAAATATAATTGATGGGTAGAATTAAAAGTAACATAAGTAAAATGAGATTACATTAACTAAAACACAAGAAAAGCACAAGTTGGCCTTCGTGTTTCATCGTTGAGGAACTATAGATGCAGCACATTGCTCCCAAATTTTCTTAGTCGTAGCCAAAGCTTGGGATTTGTCGACATCGAGTCTAGAAGCAAGCGCCTCGTTGACGAACATGTCGTGACATGGCTAACCTAGAGACACAAGAACATAACAACAACCATCACTTACAGTCGTCTCTTTGAAAATACTTTTGCTCAATTCCAACTCACACTAGGGCAGTTAACTCAAGATGTTTCGTATGACACAAGTACCACGATCCACGACTAGAGCAGTTTTATATACTCTTAAATTTGTTTCAACTTTCAGACTTTTTCCCCAGGACCTCATTATTCATTGTTTTTTCTATACAAAGAATAATATCCCATCAGAAAGTCAACACATTCTCCACCACCACCACTCTGCAGAACATTGATCATTTGGACGTCTTTTTGTTCCTGGTTCTGCAACATTCTATTTCGAACCACTGGGTTTAGCAGTTTGATCAACGCCGTCATCTACATCAATGGTCCTTACCTTGAATCTCTCAAGCCTCATTTTGGATTCTCTTCCTTTGAAATCACGCGGTGAACCAATACTTAGACTCCGTTGCATTGTCCAAACTGCTTTGGTTTGATCCGACTTCATTTGAGCTAATACCATACCCAATTTCTTTGGCACCTCAATAATTAACTTGTCCTGAACCCCGGGAAATATTTTCTTGAACAGTTCAAATCTTCGAAAATAAAGTTCTCTAAAGAATTCCACCAGCGCTAGCAACCTTGGATCAACTGACTTGCCAATTTTTGACTGGAATCTGTAGTAAGTTTCACCTATGTCACTAACACTTCTCCGGAGTAGGCCGCTCTCAAGTTGTGACATATCATTCTTGGTGCCGAAGAATGAAGTTCTTGAGCTTGATGGCTCCGTACTTGTTGCAATATCGTCTACTTGTGGATATCCTTCTGGTTTCTCCATGGATACAACAACCGATAATTTGATATTCCTAGATACAAAGAGGGGAGATTGAGAGCTGTTGTGTTGAAGGGTTTGCTATAACAAATTGATTGATCTCAATGTGTTTGAAAGCGTTTATGTTTTGGATAATTTTGGTGGTTTGTGCACATATATATAGGTGTTGAGAATGTGTAGTTGACCAAGTTCAAGATTTCTAATTAAGCCATGACTTGGTCATGCCAATTAATTAAGCTACGCGTACCTGATTAATTCAATTTGAGATGATTTTTGGATGGGAAGACACACAATAAATGAGTCAAATCATGGCGGCACATTTAGGTTTGATCAAAACTATCAACTAGTCAACTTCTTGAACATGATCACCTTAGTCGTGTTCTTTAAAAGGTGAGTCGCTTGAAAAAGAAATGCCATCGTTAGACTGGTTGTTGGTGTGAAAAAAAAAAAGGACGAATATGGTTCTACAAATAAACACTAAATTTATTCCAACTAGTGACAATGAATTCTACATTGATAAGAGGATGAACCTTGCATGAGCTTATAAGTAAATTAGGTTACTCCCCATATTGCCAATTGGTTTTATGATGCAACCTCAACTTTCTTCATGGTATTATAGCTTAACGGCCACACACGCTCCACGTCACTCTGTTTATGTTGTCCACGTGTTAGGCTTGAAAATTCGATCGCTACACGTGAGGGGGCGCGTTGAGAATAAATCCCACATTGATGAGAGGAGTAACCGAACTTATCGGTTACTCCCCATATTCCCAATTGGCATATGATTTTGAATTTGGGTGATTTTTTATAGACTTGATCTTTGATAGAAGACATAAAATTTAAACGGTGGTGGGAGTGATGGTAGCAGAGGTATAGGTGGTGATGGTCATGATGAGAACTTAGTTGTGGTGTCGGTAGTGGATGGTGAAACGGCCGAAGTGGTGGTGGCCATGGTGGATAAGAGGACAGCATTAAAGACCGGAATATGATGGTGGCGGCGATGGTGGTGTCAAAGATTGGTTCAAGGCATTGTGGAGCAACTAGTACAATTATCTTTGACCAATAAAGTCCCTTGTAGTCAGGCAAATAATGGAATTTAAAATCTGCTTTTGTTTGAATTTTTTGTTGCATACAAGTTCAATGCAGTTTGATGAGTCCATGGAAAGTGTTTGGGATGCAAATTGCTCTAATAAGTGTGGAATAATATGCAGAGTTTCTTCCACTGGCCAAATCATTGTTTTATTCCATGTAGTTTGGGTCAATCTTTAGTTTATTAGAGGACAATCGCTTAATTCCATCTTTTTTTACACAGCGAGCATGTGCTAGGTATCATGTGTGAGGGTGTACCGATATGTCTGAGAATGTGAGTGTTGTTCTATGTTGAAAAGTTAAGGAACTTTGCTACGGTTTCAAAAGAGTTAGGTTACTCTCATATTGCTAATAGATATTAAACTAGAACCTTAACTTATTTCATGGTGTTAGAATCAGGTTAGCGTACGTATGAAGTCCAACAACTATACATGGTCTAGTGTTGTCATTATTGACATTGGAGCGAGGAGGAGGGGAGGGGGGCGGGCTGGTGGTGGTTGGAGGGAGTTGGGGTTTTCACGAACAATCTATTTTACATAGTGGGTGAAACAATTATTAAGGTCTTTTGAGTAAGTTTGGTGGGTGATTTTATGTTTATGCATGAATTTTGAATCACGTGAGAGATTACTACTATTATTCCAGTCTGGTGATATTTATACTCATTTATAAATGAAAATTTTCAAGGTTGATTTTAACATGAATTAAGGTTTGGCAATCGAAACACCCTCAAAATTAAGAGAGACGCACCTTTAGAACTCACGACTTTCCGGATTTCCTTCTCAATTATAATTTGGAAATGGAAATGAAAGTAAACGTTCAGTTTTCCCTAAATTTGAATGGGCAAGTTAAACCCTCGTCAACTTTTTGTTTGAAATTTAGAAAGTACCAAATAAGAATTCAATTTTTTTTTAAGAAAGTGAAAAGCAAAAACTGTAACAAAATGATTATTAAACGGCCCTTAAAGAAAACAGAAACCAGGACAAGATGGAAGCATAAACCGTGGCGGCATTCGAGTACAATCTGCGTCCTTCAGTAAAGGGTTTAATAGGGCATGATTTCAAAAACATTTACAAAACCACTATTGACCACTAAGCTTCACTGTGACTAACTAGCAATGCCATGCTACATGCTACTATCTGTACATATTAGGTCGAGTATGATCGTAATATGAATACCGATCTGTTGGTGCCCCAACTGGCCTTCTTGGTAGGGCTCTCGTTAATCCTTCATCAGATGTCATCCATGGCGTCGGGTCTGGAACAGAGGGATAGTTGGAATAGAGAGGATTGGTAAACCTCGACGAGGGCAGCCCCATATCAAAGTAAGGATCAATATGTGGCAGCAGCGGAGAAACTCTTGACCCAGAATCTGCATAACGCCCAGCTATAAATCTATTATCTGCTGAAAAATTTGATCTGGTATCGACGTTAGGGCTACTGGGAAATATTACTGCCGCAGTAGTTGGAAAATTTGGTCTAGTCTCAACATAAGGATTGATGGCGGATCGATCAGCCCCAGTAGCAGAAAATGTTGGCCTGGGTTCAATGTATTGACTGGTAACGTATCGATCAGCAGCACTAGTAGAAAAAGTTGGCTCAATATATTGACTGGTGGAGAATCGATCAGCAGCATTAGTAGAGAAGGTTGGTCTAGTCTCAACATAAGGACTCGTGACAAACGCATCAGGAGTAACTGAAACCCTATTTTCAGGAAAATGCCTTGCAGACAGTAAGCCAGAAGAACCAAAGTAGCTATTGTGAGCCGCAGCTTCTTCAACTGCAAAATCAGTTGGTAGTCTGAAAAGCCCGGCACACCCAACAGGAATCTCTACTCTGTCTACAGTTTTCGTAGCAGGAATAGATGGTTCAATGGACTTGTGTGCAGATGTACCATCTACTAGCGGCAATCTAGTCATTGTCTGTTGTAGTGATAGCCTTGCTTGTTTAAGTGCATCCAGTACACCACCCAACTTATCCTGCGAGTCATGAGGCACCAATGCATATAGGTCGTTTCTGCTCCCTGAAGCATTTCCTTTATGGAAACCATAGCCAGCATCAGAAGACAAGGCATCTGATGTATGTTTGTGGGCTGACTGATGCAGAAGTTGGTCAGGGTGGGAGCCACGTGAAGAGTGCCGAGCATAATTTTCTGTGCTCTCTTGATTTTGCTTTCCATTTGCCCCAGGGAATGCAAATTCTTGAACTTGTGAGGAAGCAACAGAGTTTCTACTCAGATTATCCTGCAACCCTCCCGTATCTATATGTGAAGCTAATAGAAAACCGTTAGACTGAATTTTGACTGTTTCCTTAGGTAGGCAGACATCTCCTTCTGCTGACTTTGACTCTTGAGCTTGGGCAGCAGTCACCTGGGCAGGAGATGGCATTTGTGCCTTTATCTCATCTCTTTCCTCGGTGATATCGGAATGGTTCCCAGGGTCACATGAATCCTATATGACCAAAAACCCACCAGGCTTAGTGGATAAAAATTCCAAACAATAGAAAACAATGAAAAGACCTTTTATGTAAAAAAACACATACCATCATTATTAACAAATGCAACCAGCAAAGTGAATGACTGCTTAGAAACAATTACTACTTGTATCAAACACAATATCACAAGGAGAAAAACACCCATGCCATATGTTCACTCAAAACTGATTAATTTGTTTTGAAGCCTAGTTCAGTAAAATGATTCGTGAGGAAATGAGGCTAATGCTGCATCATCAATAATAATCCCCAAATGAGGCTAATGCTGTACCAAAGACTCACGGGAAGTAAAGTTCTCACTCATATGAAAAATACATGGAAGAAATGAGGCTAATGCTGCATCATCAATAATAATCCCCAAATGAGGCTAATGCTGTACCAAAGACTCACGGGAAGTAAAGTTCTCACTCATATGAAAAATACATGGAAGAAATGAGGCTAATGCTGCATCATCAATAATAATCCCCAATATTATGGGTAGAGCAAACGTTTCAAAGCCATGAAAGACGAATTAACATCTTCTGGAAGAGGTGGCTCCTATAAGCCCAAAGAATAAGGCAAAACCAAGCTAACATGAAACTGGCAGGTGAAGTTATGGTTGACTATTACTGTAAAAGCTAACACAAATAATACTTTGACACGACAATCATGTTTAACTACTATTATAAAGCTGACTTTTGTTCCATTGCTTGACCTAGCGTTGCATGAGTCCCAGTACAATTTAAGATTTTCATTTTTCCTTGCTAAAGTTGTAACTTCCTCTAGTATTTGATTGTTTCTTAAAAGCAATTGAGAGTTTTGTTATGATATTTGGTTGGGACTTGAAAACTTTTGACAAGTGAGTTCAGTGAGAGTAAAGGAAATTCTTTTGAAGGACAGGAATCAATACAATTTCAAATATAACGTCATACAAGAGATCTTGATGACATGGACAGGAATCAATACAATTTCAAATATAATGTCATACAAGAGATCTTGATGACATTGTTGAAGATGAGTCAATAAACCTAAAGTCGTAAGACCTGATGAATTATTTACAGAAAATTGATGTGAAGTTGGCAAATATGTTGATAAATCGGGTTTGAAAATTTTAAATTGATGTTGCCAAGAGCTAATTTCTCCAGTAAATCAGATGAAAACCGATTTGAAGAAACTGTGGGTTGTGAAACTGATTATGGAGAACGAAAGTAATTGTTCAAGAACGCATACAACTGTAGCTCCTACAAATCTCTTGGAAAATTGAGGAAGAGAAAAGAAAGGGTTATCTTTCATATGAGTAACTATAATTTTCTTCATTTTTGGGAAAGGACACAAAGAACCAAACCAAATTTACCAAACATATGAAATCTCAATTACAGCAGAATACACAAAGCCCAGAAGCCGAAAGGAACATTCAAGATATGAAATTGTGACTGGGAGTTCAACTAATGG